TATATGCAAATCGTTAAGGTACTATATGTGAATGAAGTTTCATGTGCCTGCACGTGATCTAGCGAAAGCTAGAGGTGCGGGGAAACTTTTGTTGGGCACTGTAATAGGATCAATTTTGGTATGTGTAATGATGATCACGTATTCGTGACACTTCATGGGTGCCCTCGGGCAGTATAGTCATATCCAATGGTCCAATGGTTCCAATTAGACATTGGACGTCCAAGATCCAATAATTTAGATCGGACATTGGACGTTCAAGATCTAATAACAAATATTGCTAATGTCAAAAATCACGATTAGACGTTGGATTGGATGTCCAATCTAAAGGTCCAATGTACATCACTGCCCTAGAGGTAGTCAAGTCGTTAACGAGTTGGGAGTATTTGTTTGGAACATTCTAATTAATATAATACTCTAATTAATAGATTTACACACAACAAATGCGAATAACCAAGCCGAATAACAATGTTTGAGCCGAGCAATAATAACGAAAATCGTCATTACACTGTCTATCCAAAAAAAGGTCTATCTCCAAATTCATCATAACTAAAAAATAAATCGGTTCAATTTTATACATGGGTGTATTAAAATACAAATCATTTACAGCCGACGGTATGGCGAATATTTTCTGCATGGTACTTAAAAATGCTGTCTGGCAAAAATATCTGAATTTTTGCCAACGAAAAATTTAATTTTATCTGACAAAATTATTTTTACCTGTCGAAATTTCGAAATTTTCTGAAATTACTCTTGTCCGCTGAAATGGTTAAAAAGACAAATGAAATTATGTGAATAAATTAAGGATGGGCAATGTAATTATTTATATCGGATCCCTCGGATTTTTATAGTAATAAAATAGCACTAACGATATTATGAACTAAATTCGGTAAAATTTTTTTATATATAGAATTAAAAATAATGCAGTTTTGAATGTAGTTATCGTAATATCACTACGTAGTTCTATTTTTATTGCTATAAAAATCCGAGAACTCTGATTTATAAATATGAATTTTTTAACGGTTAACTACTCTTAAATATCATTATTAACTATTTCTTAGTATATACGAATTATTATGATTCACATGATTCACATATACAACTTGGAAGGCATAACAATAATTTTGAAGATTAAATTCTGCCGATCAAGGTTGTTTTTGCAAATACCAGCTTTTTTTATTTTGTTTTATTTACTATATATGTAAAAAAAAATTGGAGTAATATTAAGTAATAGTACATATAAAAATTGCCCATTCCTAGTTTGAATTTATTTGTCTTTTCGATGGTAAAAGATCTAATTGATTTCAGTGCATATTTTGCATATTTTTATTAAATGCAAAATTTATTATAAGAATCTAAAGTAGTCTAAAGTAGTTAAAGATTTTCACAAATTTCTCCATACAAAAATATTTTTCAACCAAAAATATATTTGTCATCCGAAAATAATTTCGGCATATTAAATATTTTACCATATTGAAATAATTTCGACATACTGAATTATTCACGTTTTAGACAGTCAAAAATAATTTCGGCAGTCTAGATTTTACTTACGTCTTGAGTAAAATAATTTAGACACTCATGTATAGTTCAATCATGATTTTAATTTATACAATTTATTGATAAAAAAAAACGAGATTGAGAGTGATCTCAGGTCAGGCACCTAAATTAATAGGTCGGAGTTCAATTTTTATTAGTGGAAAATATTTTGACCGCAATGAAAAGATGATCGAGACCATTTTTTTTTATCATATATAGAGTAATAATGATTGGCTAAAATTTATCGCTATGAATCATCAGCAAAATTGCCTAGTGCTTGTGCACGATCTCGATCACTAACGAATTATATTGAGGGAGATGCTTGAGAATACCTTGAATTAATGATTTATTTTTAGCTACGATGATCGAAGAATACTTTTAAAGCCCATCTTATAATTATTTTTATGCCTTCTTTCGGGAATTGTTTGATCTAAATGCGGATCAGCCCGAAGCAATAATAAAAAGGTAAAAAAAAACGCAAAGACACGACAGATGTCCAAACCTATTTATATTAGGCGTTAATAAAACTGCCAGGGAGACAATCTTGCTTAGGGTATCTGTTCTAACCCTAACTTCGAATCAGTCCTATTACGAATGCATATGACGTACGTACTGTACGTATGTACGTGTTCACAGCATTTAGTGGCGCAAGAATCTCTAATTCTTTATGAAGCTAGTCAATTTCATTAAATTTAATTGTGAAAAAAAAAACCTCTGTATTACTTAATAATGAAAGAACCTTAACAATTTAGTTTTCAAAACAACGTAGAGACAATCATGATAACGAACAAAGTTACCAATGAAGATTATTTTTTAAAAAGAAAAGCATCTTAACATTTATCAATTTTCTATAGTTCTTTAGTATAAAGGATATTAGGAATGACAAATTAAAAACTTCAATACCATTACTACATTACCAACCCAAATTGGAATAATTTAATTTAATTCATTAACTTTAAAGGCAAAAAAACAAAAGTCCAAAAAGAGTTTTTTTTTTTTGCAGTTTAATTAATTAACGGTAAAAATTAATTTATCAAAAATTCCGTATTATTGCATTGTAAATGCTGCAATAATTGGATTGTGTTCAAACAAATTTGCACGATAATTTAATTATAAGTCGCAAATAGTAATTTTTTTTTGTTGTCGGCGATAAGTTAAAACGGATGAACTTAATGAAGTACAATTTTGTCTTTTAAGAAAAAGAAAAGCCATTAAAATTGTGCTGTTTCGGGTAAATATTCAGGAGTGGGAGATGTTAGGAAACGTTGTGCACGTTCGATGGCATTACAAACTTTCTCGTCATTAGCATGCACAGAAGGTTCCTTTCGGATGTTCCAAAAACAGGAGAATAAATATATATCATTGCTAATATGTATGTGCTACCTTAACGTTAAATAAGGTGTTTCTCCATTTTAGTTCAACGAGATTTTTAATAAAATGGCACCAAAACGGTTTTTTTGTTCCGTACTTCATTAGATGAAAAAAAAACATAGATCAATAAACAAATACCATTCTTTTTAATTTTCCTTTAATTCTCCTTTTGAATTCTCCTTTTAATTTTTAATCAAAAATAAGAGGAATGTTTATTGAAAAGCTATTTTTTTTGCCAATTGGTTCTATTTCTCTCTACTGGAACATGAGTTAGACTAATTTCCAGATTTTGAGTGAGTTTTAAAAATTCCCGGTTTTAAAAGAATTTTTTCATAAATTAAGCTAAGTTCTATTTAATTATTTTCCACAGATTTTATTTCAAAGTTTCTGTTTAAATTATGGAACCAACGTTTTTTACGAATAATGGGTTACCAGTACCCGTGAAGTGTAAAAAAAAAAAGTAAAGAAAGTGAAGATTGTAAATTTATAATCATTTATTAGCATATATACGTGCTACTTACTGGTCTCTTTGTAAAAAAAAAAAAATATGCTCCAATTTAATTAAGTAATGCAATAAGCATTTAAACACAAAATAGTTAAACACAAAAATAATTGAACATTTTAAAATATTGAAAGCTAAAATTTATTTATAGCTTAAAATATCTCGTATTTATTTACATATTTACATATTGTTATATCTTTACATATATATATATATGTATGTATGTATGTCTTTTTTGCATAGCTCCTTTAACTTAGAAATCTTATCATAAATTACATAGATAGAAAAATGTCATAGAAGTTTTAGGCTAACGGGGGAATTCGGTGGAAAAAGCTAATCAGAAAGACACTCAATCAAGATGAACGAAAGAAGAGAAAAAAAAAAAAGAAAAAAGAAAAAAAAGAAAGAAAAATTGTCCTCTATAGATAAGGAATGTTCTCTATAGACTATAAATTGTAATTGTTGTAATTGTTAGATTTGTTAGTGACCTTTTATTTTTATTCAAATTTGAACGACCAACATGTATGTACTTCAAATAATGCTTTTAATGCCAATGTCTATGAAAAAAGTTTTTGGATTGTTTTTTTTTATAAAAAAAAGGACTCAGTAATTATTTTGTTCGAATAATGGTCCAATTCCCATGAAATTAGGGTCTGCGAGAAGATCTGTGCAATATGGGAGCTGGAGCGTATTTGTATAATTGGTCATAAAAGGATTATCCATGGTCTCCATATTTGGTGATGTACTAAAGGTGCTTTCACTATTATAAGATAAAGCTGGAGAACTGGGATTAGATAAACAATTAATTGTATTGATCATCAAAGCATTGTTGTTTTCCGCGACAGTTACTGGCCAAGTTAATGGAGTTGTCGCTTGTTCCATGCCAGGCACAACTTGTAAACTATCATGTTCTATCTCTATGCTAGGCACGGTTTGAAAATCAAAAGTGTTTTCTCCAATTTGTGAATTAGGTGACGGATAAGGAGAAGGAAATTCAGAATCCGACATTATATTAAACATACAATCAGAGGGTACAGGACTGATTGGAGAAGTGACATATTGATGTGGAAAATCCGCGTTTAAGCCATCAGGACTATGCACAACATAATAGAATGTTGGGTCCTGGAATTCTATCATCTCATTCTGACTCTGTCTCCCCATACGTGTACAAGAGTCAGAATCATCGATGATAGGAAACGCGGTGGTGGTGCTATTATTATTGTAGACATTTGAATCCTCCAAAGTTGCCACGAAATCGAATTCCCCCCCATTCGATTCGGGACTTAAAATGTTAGAATCTTGGTTAAATATATTAAGATTCTTTTTGTCTGGTTTATCCGACGGATTTTTCTTCTTCCTAGATTGGCCTCCATTGTTTCCACTAATTTTAATTTTTAGAACAGATTTGTCTCTATGAGGATGGAATTCATAATCGGGATACATTTCCTTATGAATTCTTACAGCTTCCTTGGCAAGTTTTATAAAAGGAGTCTTTTGATCATCAGAGAGCGATTTCCAAAGTTTAGATTGGGCCTTTGAAAGTATATTTTGATCATTGTAACCAGGAATAAGGTTTTGAGTAGCATATATAGAGACAACTCTTTTAAATTGGAAGAAGCAATTTGACGGCCTGCTAACGGGATTATTTTTCCCGCTTTTTGTTGCCACCACAGGTTTAAAATCTGCAGTTAATAAATTTAATTGCACCAAGTCAACTTGTTTGACAAATTCTTCGACCTTTAGTTCAATATCACCAGTTGGTGAGTTTGCGCCAGAAGCGCTGTCAGTACGAGATCTAGTAGGACGAGTAGGCGCCATTTATTCTTTGGGGGGAAGTATTAATATTAAGAAAAAAAAGGTTTGGAATATAATGAAGTTGAGGGTTTATTATGGTTTAGATTAAAAAAAAAAATTAATCTTTTATTTGGCAACGGGTTTTCAAAATCCGAAGGGTTGCCAGCTCTATGGAGGATTGTCTATAATAATTTATTGTATGGGGAGAGGCAAGTTAAAAACCTTTAACTTTAAACTTTAATAGCACAGGTAATTTACTACACAGATTTTCAGACAGGTGGGTGAAGCCTAGTATTTATAGTTTTTTTTTTTACGATATCCATAGCTTGTCATTATTGTTTAATTTCTCCGTAAGATTTCTTTTTTTGTGTTTGGCATGCAGAAAGGAAATTTGATAGAGGAACAACAAAAATTTGACAAAGTAAAATGAGCTAAACTCCGAAAATTAGGTACAAAAAGATTTTTAACCTGGAGTTTTATGGGTTTGTACAACCTTTGGCGCTTCCAAACAATTTTCTCTTGCTTCTGTAATACAGAAAAAAAAGTGATACGTTTGACCGGCATTAAGCATTTTTGGAAATTAATTAACTACATGTTTAATAATTCTAACGTCAGTCATTTTATGGAAAATTTCTTAGTGGTAACCTATTATTAAGATCAGCAGTACGTATTAAATGTTACTCACATGGAATTTCTATTAATCAAACATATTATTCTTAAGGATTATTCCATAATAAACATGTTAGACTATGGAAAAAAAAGAACATGCCATGCTTAATTTTCCGTCAATCGGAATTTGTTTTATAGTCAAGTCGTTAAGTGAAATTAAATTTGAACATCATTTCATTATTTAAACTTATTAAACCACTTGGAAATTTTTTAAGCAAAGATCGTTTATGAAAAATATCAAATTGTTTATAATGATAAACAATTTGTAGGCAGGAAAGTGGAATGTTAATGTCATGTTAAAGCGTTATATCAAGTGTTAATGTCATGTTAAAGCGTTATATCAAGTGTTATATCAAGTATTATACCAAGTGTTATACCAAGTGTTATATCAATTATTATATCAAGTGTTATATCAAGTGTTATATCAAGTTTTATACGTACGTACGTATTAAAGTGTTATATCAAGTGTTATACGTACGTATTAAAAAAATTATTATATGTAATAAAACGTTTAAAGTTTAAATTATTATTGATGTAATTACGTATTATTGACGAGATCAGTTACGTACTGACGTACAGTACAATCATTATCGTCATACGCATTAACCCTATCATTATGTTTCATTTATTAAATTGAACATTTTCTATAAAGAATGTTCGGAATTTAAATTCAAATGTTCTAGACTAAGATTACTAAGATTGGGTAAACATATTTGGAAGACAATATTCGTTAACTACCACAATATAGTTAAGGGGATCGGAAATATTAACTCATGTAACATTATTCTTTATAAAACTAAACATGGTTACGTATTATAATGACCTGATATCTGTGGATTTAATAGTTTCACACAACATTCCTTAGCACATACATCTAGAATATA